CGAATTAAAGATAAGTTAAGGAGATAAGACTCCCCAGGGGGTGCAGCAGCAGCAGCAGCAGCAGCAGCCGGTGGCTGGGGCTGTGGTGCTGCTGCAGTGCTGCTGGCGAGGTGTTGCTTCCAGGTCGCAGCTGCGGGGTGCCGGTGCAGCAGCAGCGGGTGCTGCAGCAGCAGCGGGTGCTGCAGCAGCAGCGGGTGCTGCAGCAGCTGCTGCTGCTGCTGCAGCGGAGACGGCCCACTTCCTTCGGTTTGTTCGTGCGTGTGTTTGTGGCGAGAGACTCCTTAGGTGTATGTACACTGCGGTGTGTTTGTACTGGAGATGCAAATGTGCATTTTATTATTTGTGTTCTTTTGCTGCTCGCCGGCGCTGCTGCGCTGCATGCGTTTGCTTGTGTGGTTGTGGGGCCGAGGTAGTGCGTGGGTTGGGGTGTATGGACAGCTCGAGAAGCAAACGGGAATAGAAGTGCCTCATTTATTATTTCATTTTTCATTTCACTAGGCCGCTGCACAGACGCGTAGTTGTATAAGAACGGCAGCAAACAATGTGGACTTGGGAATTGAAAAAGAAATGCGCCGTTTAAGGATTTCCGAGGTGCTGCAGCGTGCATGCAGCTGGGGTGTACGTACACCCCAGCGAACCAGCCGAGGGCCGGCGGGCGCCTCTCAGGTGTACCGACAGCCAGCTGGAGCTCGTCTTGTCCGCGAACTGCCGGATCTGAAGCATCGAATTAAATTAGACTTAAAAATACTTTTGAATCTTCTTAAAAACTCCCGGTGCGCTCCAAACTCGCCGCTGGCGACGCTGCATGCGCACGAACGGCTGGGGTGTACGTACACCGCAGCGGCGCAGCCACCCCGCGCCCTCCAGGTGTACGTACACCCCGCGGACTGGCTCTTCTCCGGCTGCTTCAGGGCACAGCAAGAGGCCCACTTCCCCTTTTGTTTTCCCCAACTCAAACGCAGCAGAGTGTCTTAGCCTGAAATGGACTTCGGATCAAATCACTTCTGCTGCTTCCCGCGGCCTTTTGTCAGCCAAGAGGCCAATTTAGAGTTAAATTCTCTTATTAAAAAGCCCACTTCTGAGACAGTCTAACTGGTGAAAATGTCTTAGCCAAAAATCTAATTTGAATTTAAAATCCCCCATTGAAAATCCCAATTCTGAGACAGTTCTATTTACTGAAGAGGTCTGAAGTGTCTTGAGGCCAAAAGAGCAGGAATGGAGGTCCAGGTGTATGTCTAGTGCAGAGCAAATCCGCAGTTTCTGTTGAGTGGCATTTATCCAATTAATTCACAAGTATATATCTTTCAACATTTTCAGGTATATTTCTTTCAACATTTTCACTTTTATTGGCAAATATATTTCACTTCGATACGCCTTTGTTGCAGTATGTGTCCTGTTGCTGCAGCGGCTGCTGCTGCAGCGGCGTCTGCTGCAGCGGCGTCTGCTGCGGCGGCTGCTTTGCGCGTGCGAGGTCTCGCTGAGGACTGCTTCCTGCAGCAAATTGCAGCCAGCCATTGGCAAGGGGAGGACTGTTGCTGCTGCTGCTGCTGCTCCTGTTGGTGCTGCTGCTGCTGCTGCTCCATTTTTTCTGTATTAAGGGTTATGTGTCACAGCAGCTAGCTACGGCGGCCGGGTTGCTTGCTTGCTGCCTGAGGCTACAGCAGCAGCAGGGCTAAACCCCAAACCCTCGAGACGTGTTTTTGCTCGCAGCTGTAACCCTAAACCCTAGGCCCTAAACCCTGGGCCAGTAACCTGGCTGCATCACTGATCTAGGGTTTAGGGTTTAGGGTTTAGAGTTTGAGCATTCACTGCCATGAGAAGGGCTTAGTATGATTTTACCTCAGCAGATCTTTTTTAATTGCTTTTAGTTAAAGTAAAGAGTTGGCCTCTTGCTGCTGACTACCTCCGGGCCTCTCTGCGCAGGGATAGAGGCAGCAACTGCCACGGCAGCCGCCGATGCTGCAGCAGTGGTTGTCGCTGCTGCTGCAGCTGCGGCTATCATCTCTGCTGCAGATGTGGCTGCCGCTGCTGCTGCTGCTGTAGCGGCTTTTGCTGTAAGACTTGCTACTCGTTTATTATGTTGTGCAGGGGCCCCTTAACAGGAAGAGGGGCCCCCTAGCTCGTATTTGGTGGGTTTTGTGATTAATTTAAAATATATTTTTAAAAATATTTAAATATGAAAGCAAAAAACAGTTCGACGCGCTGCAGGCAGCATGCAGAGGTAGGGTTCTAAGGGAACCTGCTGAGGGGCACTGGCCTCCGGCCAGCTGCTGCCAGTCAGGTATTGTTCAAGGAATAAATAAGCTGTTATATCAAAAGGAATAATTAATAATCAAATAAACGAGAATTTAAGCAAAAACATGAACTCGCCAGAGAGCTGGCTGGAATGGCGAGCGACAATAGTTAACTGCGGCGCTCGTTGCTGTTGCTGTTGCTGCTGCTGCTGCAGCTGCTGCAGATTGAGAAAAAGTTGTTTTCAAACACTTTTTAATTTTTAATTGAGCCAAAAATCTGGTGATATGACAGTCAGCGGAGCCCCGCAGCAGCGACAAGGAACATGTGACCTTGGCGGCAGTGCTCACTGCTGCGCGAGCAGCAGCAGCAGCAGCAGCAGCAGGAGCTGCAGCAGCAGCGCCACGAAGAGGGGAAAAGTTTGGCCGAAAAGTTGAATTTTGCGTTGGTTTTTATTCTTTGTATATATTGTTCCGTTTGTACTGCAGCAGAAAGGGCGCAGCTGGTGCTGCTGCTGCTGCTTTTGGTTCGCTGCAGGTCCGTGCTGCTGCGGCTGGTCGGCTGCCCTGTTGCAGCAGCAGCAGCAGCAGCAGATGGTGCAGCTCGCTCGCCTCTTTTTACAAGCGTAAATGCTTGAAAACAACAACAGTTTTGTCGTGGCAGACTGCAGGTGTACGTACACTCCGTGTTCACACCGCCGACTGCCGCGTGCTGGTGACCTCAAGTGACCCGTCCTTCATTTATTTCTTTTTTGGCTTCTCCAGGTCTTAACCATTTTTAGAGAGGTGGCCAAAGGCTGGGTGCTGGCGAGCCGCTTTCGGCAGCTGCAACAGCAGCAGCGTGGCGGCAGCAGCAGCAGTGCCTGCAGCAGGAGCAGCAGCACGGCTAGCCACAACTACTGATTTGGAGGTAGCTACCGCTGAAGACTCCCCAAACATCTTTCTTTAGCTGCAGCTGCTGTTGCAAAAGCTTTAAGCAAGCAGCAGCTGCAGCGGCGGAGGCAGCAGCATCTGTGGCTTTGCTGCATATTTCTGCTTGCAGCAGCAGCTTGTTGAGAACAGCAGCAGTTCCCTCGACAAAGCAACTGCAGCAGCGTCGCTGCAGCAGCAGCGTGGCCCTTTCTAGCAGCTGCAGCTGCAGCTGCAGCTTTCAGTGATGCGGCGGCGTCGGCCGCAGACTGGGACGGAGGAATCGCGAGGCTCCTCTGCAGCAGCAACAGCAGCAGCAGGAGCAGCAGCAGCAGCAGCAGCAGGGTCGCGGCCCCCGCCGGCCACTCCTTGTGCAGCAGCAGTCTGCGAGAATCTCGTTGGACGCACAGGCCCGGCAGGACGAGGAGCAGCAGCAGCAGGAGCAGCAAGAGGCACGCGAGGAGCAGCAGCCGCAGCAGCAGCAGCAGCAACAGCAAATGGCCGCCGCAGCGCAGCACCCTGCCCCATAGCCAAAGTGCCCCCCCACCTGCTGGCGCAGGTGCTGGCAATTACTGCAGGGGACAGCAGCAGCAGCGAGACAGAGCGGCTTAAGTCAGTTTGTGTTGAGTGGGCAAAGACAATCAGCAGCAGAGAGTTTACTTTTCTTTTGCCGTTGAGGCTTTCTTACGTTGCCCGGCGCCAGCAGCAGCAGCAGCAGCAGCAGCAGCAGCTGCAGCAGCAGCAGCAGCAGCAGCTCCAGCAGTTCTACTTCCGCAATGCCGCAAGCAGCAGCTACCATACCAACGCAGCAGCAGCTGCTGCTGCCTCCGCGGCGCCGCCACTCTGCGGAATAGCTCCGGGGCTGCTGACAGCAGCACCCGTGCCGCCAGCAGCAGCAGCAGCAGCAGCAGCAGCAGCAGCAGCAGCAGCAGCAGGACCCCGCTCGTCGGGCGCAGTTGGCGGCGGCTCTGCGCTGCTGCCTGCGTCTCGTTTCCCGGACCCCGGAGCAGGGTGCCCAGCAGCGGGTCCTGGCGCAGCACGAACAGCAGCAGCAGGAGCAGGAGCAGCAGCAGCAGCAGCAGCAATTGGACTCTCTGCAGCAGAAGCAGCAGACCTGCGCGCGCAAGGCACTGAAGGCGGGCTGCTGCTGGACGGCCCCGTGTTTGGCTTGAGCCGCAGCAGCTGCAGCGCCGTGTGTGAGTGGCTGCTGTCTGCAGTGCCGCACACTTCGCGGCTGCTGCTGCAGCAGCAAAAGGGGGACATTGACTATTTGCTGCTGGAGTCGCTGGGGCGGCTGCTGCTGCGCAGCGCGCCGTACCTGTCTCACCTGACGCTGGCGGACCGGCGAGCAGCAGCAAGGCTGCTGCCGCTGCAGAAGGAGTGCAGCAGCGCAGCTGCGGGGCCGAAGCAGCTGCAGCTGCCGGCAGCAGCCGCAGCCGCAGCAACAGCAGCAACTGCAACAGCAGCAGCAGCAGCAGCAGGGCCCCGTGCGCAGCCGCTGACGGCTGCCGAGGAGCAGCGGCTGTCCGTGTGGCTGGCGCAGCGGCAGGAGGAGCGGTCGGCAGCGGCGGGCGCCGCGCCCGCAGCAGCAGCAGCAGCAGCAGCAGCAGCGTGCCCCCGCGTCACCTTCTCGCAACTCAAGTATGTGCGAGCAGCGCATGCAAACTTCCTCAGATCCTTGAGGGCCCCCCAGCTGCAAGAGCTGCGGCTGGACCTGAGGGTACACTGGGAGGGGGCCCCCCTGGGGCCCCGTGGCTGGCCAACTGTATGTACACCTTACAGGGACTTGATGCTGTTCTTAGCTGCTTCGCAGCCGCCGCTGAAGCTGCTGCACTACCGGGTGTCTGCATGCAGCTGGCTGGACCATTCGCTGCTGCCGCAGCCGCCGGCTCCCGGCAGCAGCA